GTGTAGCGTGGTACACCCTGGCTGAGCACCATGGGCAGCTGGCCATGGCACTCAGCCAGGGTGCCCCACGCAGGCAGGCACAGAGGAGGAGCTGCCCCATCAGCTGGAGCACAGGGCAGCCTCTTTCAGCTGTGAAAGCCACAGTCAGTTGGCTGGGGTGTTTCAGCCTTCCCGACCTCCCAGCTCCCACCATTCCTCACAGCTACTCACCTGTGTTGTTGCTCGGTGAGTAGCTGCTCCTCAAATGAGGAAATTAAATGTAAATGTACTGCGCAGGCGCGCAGTTCAGAGCTGCCCCATCAGCTGGAGCACAGGGCAGCCTCTTTCAGCTGTGAAAGCCACAGTCAGTTGGCTGGGGTGTTTCAGCCTTCCCGACCTCCCAGCTCCCACCATTCCTCACAGCTACTCACCTGTGTTGTTGCTCGGTGAGTAGCTGCTCCTCAAATGAGGAAATTAAATGTAAATGTACTGCGCAGGCGCGCAGTTCAGAGAGGGCTCAAGAGCTACTCTTAGAGCCCCTGAGATCGACCGGTTGGTGACCACGGGAGTAGATGGCTCAAATAGTTACAAGAGGCTGATAAGAACAATTAACCAACCAACCAACGGAGGTGCTAAGTCAAGTCATTAGGATGTGGAAGGTAGTGTGCAAGCCAGCTGATATCCCTATTCATACCAATGAAGTTAAGTTTCAACCCTTCTCATTGTATTTGGCTTGTGGAATTGGCCTGAAAACAAAACAGTGACCAACCAACCAATGGAAGTGCTAATTGTTATCAGCCTCTTGTAACTATTGGAACCATCTACTCAGGGTCTCTTCTCTCCTCTCCTCTCCCCCGTTATTTATTCTTGGCTCAGGACTTCTAATACTCCTGTCATCTGAAGTAGGTTGTGCCCAGGAAAGCTCATACCACCATCTACCTGTTTTGTTAGTCTAGTGGTACCTCAAAGACTATTAATCTGCAACAGGAAAAACTTAAAACAAACTCAGCTACCCCCGAATATTCCTAGACGGTACATTTTCAGAGGCTTATTATCAGGTGTTTGAGAATCATGGTTAAGGCTGATCTATTCCAATAGTCTTGTTTTTTCTGGTCACAATTATAATTTTGAACCAAAATAGTGATTGAAGAAAATCAAAGCAGAAGACTTGATTGGGAATCTAACTCCACCATAACTGTTCCCTACAAATCAATATTCTGGAACTCCTAGAAAAGCAACTCATGCAACATTTACCAGAAGAGTGAGAAAAGTAAGGAATTAAGTTGTGTCACATATTAGGTGCGTCTCTTTAACCCCAAAAATTGAAGTAGTGATCCAAGAAGGAAAGTGACCTTCGAAGCATCAATGTTTTACTAAATGGGCTATAATATGTACTTCATTTGGCCATCAGGATGAGAGTTTTCCAAATCTTGAGCATTGACACATTTTGAAGTGTCTTTTATTATATATAAATAAATACAAGGCCAAAAAACGAGTAATTTTAGTTCAGAATGAGACAGATTAAAAAAATGGTGCTTCTGCCAACATGTACATACCTGGCCTAAAATGTCACTCACCGAAGCCAAACCAGGAACACTCTTATCCAGGTTAAAGAACTCATTGAAGTCAAACTCTCCTGGTGGTGGTGGTTCTTGTAGAACAGCTTCCCTGGGAACTTCACGATCTGCTGCAGTTTCAGGGGCAAGGACAGACTGCACTTCATCCTCTTCTGCCACTTCACCACTGCATTCTATTCCCGGGGGGGAAGAGATTAGTTGATTCTCTGGAAATATCAGGAGCAATTATCTGCTGGTTAATCCACAGGATTAATGTTCAGAAGTGGCTTTTGTTCCAGACTTTGGTCTGGCTAACTACATGAATTTAACCCAATTTATGTTGCAAGCAGCAGCCAAAGAGCACAAATAGGAATTGAGACTTAGGGTATGTCTACACTACAAAGTTAATTTGAAATAACAGGAGTTCTTTTGAATTAACTTTAATAGAGTCTACACAGGCAAGCCGCTATTTCGAAATAAGGGCTCCACTATTTCAAATTTGGTAAACCTCATTCTACAAGGAGTAATGCCAAATTGGAAATAGCTAATTCGATACAAGTGCTGTGTCGACACTTAATGCCCGGAGACATTAAAGGGGTAGACCCTGGCCACAGTGCCTGTGCCAGCTCCAAGCCTGCCAGCCCACAGCCAGCAGTGGGTACCGGGGCCCCTGACCCAGTGGCCCTAAAACATGAACCAGCAAGCCACTGGCAGGCCCCGCCCTCCCCCAATCTCCAGGAGCAGTCTGCCCGCCCCC